GGTTGACAATGTACCAGGTCGTAAGACAGTTGGGTGCAAATGGATCTTCAAGAAGAAGACCGACATGGATGGAAGGTACATACTTACAAAGCGCGACTGGTTGCGAAGGGCTTTACTCAAACTCCGGGAGTTGACTATGATGAGACCTTCTCACCAGTAGCTAAGATTAAGTCTATTAGAGTATTGTTAGCCATAGCTGCATTTCATGATTATGAAATATGGCAAATGGATGTCAAAACCGCTTTCCTTAATGGAAAGTTGGCTGAGGATGTTTACATGGCTCAACCAGAGGGTTTTGTCGATACAAGATACCCTAATAGAGTGTGTAAGCTTGATAAATCCATTTATGGATTGAAACAAGCATCTCGCAGATGGAATCTTTGCTTTGATGAGAAAGTCAAAGAGTTTGGCTTTTCTAGGAGTGAGGATGAGTCTTGTGTGTATGTCAGGGCTAGTGGGAGCATAGTTAGCTTCTTGGTGTTGTATGTGGATGACATACTTCTCATAGGAAACGACGTCCCAACCTTGCAGGAGGTTAAGTCCTGGCTTGGGAAGTGTTTCGCTATGAAGGACCTTGGGGAAGCTGCCTATATCCTAGGGATAAGGATATTGAGAGATAGGAGTAAGAGACTAATTGGACTTAGTCAAAGTACTTATGTGGATAAGGTGCTGAAGAGGTTCAGTATGCAAGATTCCAAGAAAGGAGAATTACCAATCCAGAGTAATGCCAAGCTGAGTAAGACTCAGAGTCCGAGTACAGAGGCTGAGATAGCTGAGATGAGTCATATACCATATGCTTCCGCTGTGGGCTCGATCATGTATGCTATGACTTGTACTCGCCCTGATGTGGCCTTTGCTTTGAGCATGGTCAGTAGATATCAAGGGAACCCTGGCAAGGCACACTGGACAGCGGTAAAGAACATTCTCAAGTATCTGCGGAGGACTAAGGATTGGGTCCTTACCCTCGGAGGCAGTGATGACTTGAGAGTGGAAGGATATAGCGATGCTAGCTTCCAGACTGATAGGGATAATTTCCGCTCTCAGTCAGGCTGGGTCTTTATCCTAAATGGAGGGGCAATTACTTGGAAAAGTTCCAAGCAGGAGACAGTAGCTGATTCTACTTGTGAATCAGAGTACATAGCAGCAAGTGAAGCAGCTAAGGAGGCGATATGGCTAAAGAACTTCATCGGAGACCTTGGAGTTGTACCAGCTATAAAAGAGCCAATGGAAATTTTCTGTGACAGCGAAAGTGCGGTTGCTTTGGCTAAGGAACCAGAGATCACGGGAGATCTAGGCACATTGACAGAAAATACCATTTCATCAGACATCGAATAGAAGAAGGACTCCTCGTGGCTAAGAGGGTATCATCAGATGAGAACCCGGCAGATCCCCTCACGAAGGGACTGAGCAGGGTTAAGCATTTACAGCATGCGAGGCGCATTGGGCTGAAGGATGATATTAGTTTCAATAATTAGATTCCTGAAACTTGTAAAATGTAATTGACATTTGATGATAAATAAAAGTTGTTATTTATTTATGAGTAAGGTGTTACTATCTTGTGTTGATTGTTTACTATGTTTCAATTTTGCATGTTTTTACTTCCAGAATAATTATGTTATTATTCAAACCATCCACAGTCAGTCAAACTTTGGAAGTAAGTATTGATTTAAGACTGTCATGAATTTGGCTTGTATGATTTGTCTAAAAGTGCTTTGGACAATGCAATGGTTGCTACAACATTCATGAGTACTCATAAGGGCTGAGTATTGGATCCAACCCACGCTCACTTGCATCACTTCATGGAATTTATCTCGAGTGATCGTGAGACGGTAATATCATATAAATCTTCAAACCTAGAGATATGAGTTGTTGACTATGAGTTGGTTATTCATTGATTGCACGAAAACGCATTGGTAACTCGATGTCATAAAACGTGCCTTTGTGAATAATTCAACAAGTAGTTAGTACAAGCATATCAGTCGAAGTTTATCTGTTCCTTCTAGAAATAGAAGCGATATCTGGGCCCCTCGATGATTTGGTTTTGACCTATGTACCGGGCCCGGTCAGAACCTAATTGATGTGTTCAATTTAGTTCTATGTCGAAACAAATCAGAGATCGAGAAACAAATGCTGGACAATAAGTAAGACCATGTTCCATGTGTTTGTCCGGCTGATATCATGAGAACAGAGGATTATATGATCACTTATCTTAAATGGCGTATCATCATCATCTCAGTTCCGAGAGACTTTGAAAGAGCTACGATTGCTAGTCGGATTTTGAAGTCATATTTGCAAATATAGTTATTAGACTTATCCAAGTGGGAGACTGTTGGATATAGTGTCTAAGTCCATAACTTTATTTGGTATGTACTTGACCCGACCCGGCATGGTCCATTTGGGTTGCATGGCATTGCAATACTTGGATAGACTAAATGAGAGAATAAGGCACTTATGATTATTAATATATTATAAGTTCTAATATATTAATAATAGTATTATTTAATTAGTATTGATCAAGTATTAATCTAGTATTAATTTGGTGATCAAAGTGAGACTAATTAAATATATAGGGTTGATTATGACAATCATCAATTCTTTTATGGTGGATTAATGATCCATGGTTTATGGGTTTGGATGTAACCATTGGAGCTCCATGGATAGTCCATGGGAGTTACAAACCCATGGGTCATGGGAAATCAAGAGTCATGACAATTAAGGGCATTCATGTGTAAACCCTAATTGTGACAACACTATAAAAGGAACCCTATGGCTAGCAAAATGTGACCTAGGGTTACTAGAGAGGGCATAACCGATTTTGAGGCTAAGTGACATTCTCTCAAGTTATTCCAAGTCTTGTGGTGTTGTGTGAAGCATTTGAGGCACAACATTTGGGGTGCTAGGCTCACAAAGTCTTGAAGGAATCCAAGCAACAACAAGGTATGTATTTCTACTAGTTTTATGTTTTATGTAATCCCCATGCCATGCTAGTTAGGAAATAACCTTGAAAAAGAAATTTGCATGTATATAGAGAAAACATAGATTCAAGGTTATTAGGGTTGCATGTACACTTAGGTTATGTTATGCCAATGTCCCATCGTCCTCGTACTAGCAAACGTTTTTTTGAAGTTAACAACAGGAGATTTAAAGGAGGTTGGTTTTGTGAGGTTAAAGATTTAGGGGAGGGAGATGGATGGGAAATTTTTAAAATTATTCACAAGAACCAAAACAAACACGAAGTAAAATCAACATAAAGGTATTTTTATTTTTTCATTTTTTTCATTTATATATGTTTATTTATATATGTATATATGATTGTTTTGATCAATCACATGTGATTATAAAGATAATGTGCATATGTCGTTAGTGTGTATATTGTTTTCATGTGTGTAATCATATGCGATTGATATATTTTGTGTATATAAAACATTTTAATCACATGTGGTTAAACAAGACTGTGATTTTTATTTGTATAATCATATGTGATTTTTTATTGTTACATGTGGAACTAAAATATGATGAAAAAGAAGTGAGTTGCATCTGTGGACATTTTAATCGATTTGGTATTCTCTGTAGACATGCTTTTAGAGTATTGATGGACAAAATTTTTAATGAAATACCGGAACAATATATTCTTAGGCGATGGACAAAGGATGTAATATCTTTGAATTATCAGTTGCCGAGAGATCTTTTTGATGAAGAGGATGAAGAAGTTACCAAACTGGTTAATGAAGTATTTTTGAATGTTGAAACTACTTTAGACATTGTGAGACATGATAAGCAGAAGTTAGCATGTTTGGCTAAAAAACAGAAATTTTGTTGAATGAGGTGAAGAGTAATTGTTCAAGTGAAAAGCCTATTACAAATTCGGATATCCTTGAAAAACTTTATAATGTTACTATTCCAGAAGAAGTCGAGATTTTTGTTCCAAAAGTTCAACATAATAAAGGATCACGAAAGAAAAGGCTTATTGGTGAAGTTGAAAAAGCAGTTATGAATGCTCAAACGAATACCACAAAATGCTCATTATGTGGTAAAAGAGAACCACACAACAGGCGTACTTGTCCAAGTAGATTTAATGCTCAGAATTGATGAATAGACTTTTTATTAGTTTTCAATTTTTTAAGTAAATAATGTTCATAACAGATGATAATCATTTGTGATTCAATTTATTTTTCCTCATTCAATTTTTGGGTTGTCTGTTTATAATTATATGTGATTGTAAAATTTTTACTAGTATAATCACATGTGATTTGTTTCAATAATTTGTCTATAAAATAAGTATAAACTTTTAATAAAAGATCTTAATCACATGTGATTTTATAATATCATATGTTTTTATATACATAATCACATGTGATTTTATAATATCAAATTTCCACATGATAATCTAAGTATATTACACATGATAATATAAGTATTATTTTTATAATGTGTACATGTTTAATTATATGTGATTTTTCTTTTTGTGTATGTATATATTGCACATATGATATTATTTTTCTAATCACATGATAATCATATGTTGTTGAAGTATAAAATATACAATGATCATATTTGATTATTTTTCTAATCACATGTGATTATTTTTCTAATCACACGTGATTACGTATATAATCACATGTGATTGTCGATATCACATCTTATTGTACAAAGAACAAGGCATTTTATAACTGTTAGAAATATGAAAGTCATATGTGATTTAAAATGAAACATTCTGTAAACTTTAATTTATAGTTAAAATACTTATCTATATTAAGTTTCACAAATCCATGATATCATATATATGTTCAAACATTTATCTAATTAAAACCTAATTATTGTCTTAATAAACTAGCAAGCATTCATCTAATTGAAAACTAAACATTGTCTAAATAAATAAACAATCAAATCATCCATTTACAGACACTCTTTCAAACTTCAGTATTTGAATCTTGACCTTCGCATCAAACCTCTTCCCACATCTTCCTCCTTCTCATTCACCACTTTGACTTCCATTATCCTTATTGGCAATCACTCAACCTTTGATGGATTTCTGCACAAGCATTTCTTTGATCGCTTTCTTTCTTCTCTTTATTTTGTTTGTTGTACTCATGTGCAAGTTCCATGACATCATCCTTCATGAAATTAATCTCAGAATCTATCAATGCATGAGCATATTTGGTTCTCACCAAATCAAGCAGTGCATCTTGAGCTCCTTCCTTTGGGAATCCAGTTTTGTATTCTGGTTGAGCCATATACGTTTCCATGTATCTCATCACAAATATTCCACAGTCTCTTTTGTTATGTTTAGTTTTGCATAACATATCTGGTATTTGTGGTTTGATATTTGGGTCTTGAAGGGCATAACATCTTGGATGATTTATTTCATGCAGATATCTCAAGAAGTATTTTTTTTCTGAAAATTAAAAAAATAAGAAAGTTAACCACATAAAATTAAACATAAAAATATATTATTAATATCTACATAATCACATGTGATTACAAATATGAAATAATGTTTTGATTATTTTTTAATTCAAATGTATAATCAAATATGATTTGAAATGTTTATTCAAATGTATAATCACATGTGATTTACTTATATAATCACATGTGATTTATTTATATAATCACATGTGATTTATTCATATATGATTTATTTTATCTAATTATATGATTTTCTTATTTAATCACAGTTGATTTTTTACATACCAGGTTTTTAAGTACATGCATGTACTTTCCTTTAACAGTTGCGTCTGATCTGCTGTTATCCAAGATGACAATGTTTGGATTTTTTATGTTGAAAATGTAGAGAAACATGTGTTCTTCCCGACAAACAGGGAAGAATATCTGCATTTAAATATTTATTGTCATATTTATGAATATATATATAAAGAATAATTTGATATTGAATAACTTACCAAATCAACATCTTTCAATTTTATTTTTTCTTCATCTCCATTGAACCAATCTACAAAGTATTTTTTGAATAGATTGTATCTGTACTCGCCTTTCTCCTTTGCTTCCTTTTCCATTTGTTCTTTTACTTTTTTGTCAATCTTTTTCCTTTTGTCATCTTTTTTTGGTTTAGGAAGTTGCTCATCCTCAATATACTTTGTCTACATGTTAAATGATTTGTGATTTTAGTGTATAATCATATATGATTGAAATAGATAATATTATTTTAGTGATAGAATCATATATGTTTCACTTACAGTGATTTGGACAGACAAGAAAACTCTGTATGGAGAATTATTAATGTCTCGGTCCTTGTCATTGTAGTTCAACAGTTCAGACCATGAGTCTATGACATCTGGAAATAGATATTCTCCGGGAAAAAAAATTTCAAATACATATCGGAATACAACTCTTTTGTTTATTGTGAATAACAACTGATCACTATAAATATAAAAAAAATTGTAATTTCACTGTAAATATAATGTTGAACAAGTATATTTAACATATTTTTTTAAATCACATATGATTAATCAAAGATTAGAATGCATAATCACATGTGATTTACTAATATTAAACAAGTATGTTAATGTTTATTTTTTGTAAATGATAATCAAATATTAATAACTTACTATTCAGTTCCCTGCAAATGGAACAACCATTCACCAAGCATTTCCTCTTCTTTTGTTAATTTTGTTTTCAAGCAAATTGCTCTCTCTTTATATGGAGATCTCCTTACTTCGGCTGGTTTTTTCTTTCTTTGTTTCCGATGTTCCAGAGTTACATTTTGTTTTGGGTGGGTCTTCGCTTTTGGATCTAGCGCATCTTTCACCAGATTTTCTTTTTCACCTTCATCTTTTTTTTGTCCAGCAGTATTCTGCAATTGATATATGGTTATAACAGTTAGAAAAATATTAGAATCATAATTTTAAAATTTTAATAATTACTGTTAATCACATATGATTGTAAGTTTAAATAATGTGATAATTAGTTTTAATCACATATGATTGTACGTTTAAGAAATAATAAAATCATATGTGATTACATTCATAATGATATGATATTGTACGAACAGACAAAATAATATTTAATCACATATGATTGTACGTTTAAGAAATAATAAAATCATATGTGATTACATTCATAATGATATGATATTGTACGAACAGAAAAAATAATATTTAATCACATATGATTGTACGTTTAAGAAATAATAAAATCATACGTGATTACATTCATAAAGATATGATTTTGTACGAACATACAAAATAATATTTAATCACATATGATTGTACGTTTAAGAAATAATAAAATCATATATGATTACATTCATAAATATATGATTTTGTACGAACAAACAAAATAATATTTAATCACATATGATTGTACGTTTAAGAAATAATAAAATCATATATGATTACATTCATAAAGATATGATTTTGTACGAACAGACAAAATAATATTTAATCACATATGATTGTACGTTTAAGAAATAATAAAATCATATATGATTACATTCATAAAGATATGATTTTGTACGAACAGACAAAATAATATTTAATCACATATGATTGTACGTTTAAGAAATAATAAAATCATATATGATTACATTCATAAATATATGATTTTGTACGAACAAACAAAATAATATTTAATCACATATGATTGTACGTTTAAGAAATAATAAAATCATATATGATTACATTCATAAAGATATGATTTTGTACGAACAGACAAAATAATATTTAATCACATATGATTGTACGTTTAAGAAATAATAAAATCATATATGATTACATTCATAAAGATATGATTTTGTACGAATAGACAAAATAATATTTAATCACATATGATTGTACGTTTAAGAAATAATAAAATCATATGTGATTACATTCATAAAGATATGATTTTGTACGAACAGACAAAATAATATTTACCTCTGTCATCTCTGGAGGTGTCAACTGACTTATCTTGAGATCATATGAGGGCATCATACTCTCTTCTTTTTTATCTTGGTATTCTTTCATGGTCTTTTCATAAACCGAATTGAATTCATCATCATTTAACATTTCGGTAATGCTAAACTCTGATGTGTTTTCAAAAATACTTTCAATAACGTTTGTTATTGTTTTGTTCACATCTTCTTCATGAATCACATAAACAAAATAAGTTAGTAGAAAAATCACTTGTGATTATAAGTAAAATATATTGTTGTTTACCTTCTCCTTCAACATTTTGTTCTTCATTATCACCACCTTTTTCATTTTCAACACCTTCATCATGCAAATTAATGTCATCAAAACCTTGATCGTTATCAATCATATATGATTCAGTAATCATATGTTCTTAAAAAAATGTTGTACAAATATATTTGTATTGTGATGTGAATATAATCACATGTGATTAAAGAGATGTAATCATATATGATTATTATGTGTACAAATATATTATATTGTTATTTTCAATATATTTATATTTACCTTCTCCATCTCTTTGTGGTTGTTCACCAGTTATTCCTTCTAATTTCTTATCATTCTTCCTTTCTATATTCATCCCCTCCACAGCTGAATACAATTAAAAAGAAATTATTAATGATTTGTGAATGTAGTCACATGTGTTTACATAAATTATAATTACATTTGATTACTTTATTAATTTATATTGTTGTTTACCTTCTCCTTCATCATTTTTTTCTTCTTTATTATTACCACATTTTTCATTTTCAACAACTTCATCATGCAAATTTATGTCATCCAAACCTTGATCATTATTATCATTTTCATCTTTCTCACCATCCGCATATATAAAAAATTTGTAGTTAATCACATGTGATTTGCATATAATAAAAATTTGTTGTCTATTACATGTGATTGTAAAAAGTTACTTTTTAAGAATCACATATGATTGAGTAATCATATGTTATTAAAAAAATATTGTACAAAAATATTTGTATTGTTGTGTGAATATAATCACATGTGATTACAAGAGATGTAATCATATATGATTATTATGTGTACAAATATATTATATTGTTATTTTCAATATATTTATATTTACCTTCTCCATCTCTTTGTGGTTGTTCACCAGTTATTTCTTCTACTTTCTTAGCATTCTTCTCTTCTATATTCATCCCCTCCACACCTAAATATAATTAAAAAGAAATTATTAATAACTTGTGAATGAAATAACATGTGTTTATACAAATTATAATTACATTTGATTACTTTATTAATCTATATTGTTGTTTACCTTCTCCTTCAACATTTTGTTCTTCATTATCACCACCTTTTTCATTTTCAACACCTTCATCATTCAAATTCATGTAATCCAAACCTTGATCATTATTATCATTTTCATCTTTCTCAACATCTGCATATATAAAAAATTTGTAGTTAATCACATGTGATTTGCATATAATAAAAATTTGTTGTTAATCACATGTGATTGTAAAAAGTTACTTTTTAAGAATCACATATGATTGAGTAATCATATGTTATTCAAAAAAAATACTGTACAAATATATTTGTATTGTTATGTGAATATAATCACATATGATTACGAGAGATGTAATCATATATGATTATTATGTGTACAAATATATTATATTGTTATTTTCAATATATTTATATTTACCTTCTCCATCTCTTTGTGGTTGTTCACCAGTTATTTCTTCTACTTTCTTAGCATTCTTCCCTTGTATATTCATCCCCTCCACACCTAAATATAATTATAAAAAATTATTAATAACTTGTGAATGAAATCACATGCGTTTATATAAATTATAATTACATTTGATTACTTTATTAATCTATATTGTTGTTTACCTTCTCCTTCAACATTTTGTTCTTCATTATCACCACCTTTTTCATTTTCAACACCTTCATCATTCAAATTCATGTAATCCAAACCTTGATCATTATTATCATTTTCATCTTTCTCACCATCTGCATATGATAAAAATTTGTAGTGAATCAGATGTGATTTGCATATAATAAAAATTTATAGTTAATCACATGTGATTGTAAAAAGTTATTTTTAACAATCATATATGATTTAGTAAAATATTACTTACCTGTTATTTTAATATCTTCACCTCCCTTATCTTTATTTTTTCGTTGCTGTTCCTCTCCTCCTTTAAGATTCTCATTTTCTTGTCCCGTAACTGCATATAATTTAAGATAAGTATTTAATCACATGTGATTGTATACGTAATCACATGTGATTATATAGAGATTTTTTTAAATATACTTACCTCTTTCAATATTTTCCCCTCCAATGGCAGATCACTGGACGTGTTCTTTCAATGTTAAGTACATCAGATTTGATTCTGTCTAAATAAAGCAACTGCAAAAAAAAAATTATTAATTTTGTAACAAATTCTACTAATTATATATGATTTAAGAATCTGACATTTAAATCACATGTAATTATAGATACTCATGTTAGAACATACGTTATAAATAAATAAAAATCATATGTGATTTTAAAGATATTTAAATAGTGTAAAACATATTAAACATACCACCAAATAAGCAGATGGTCCATTAAAATTGCTTGTTGGATTTGATGGATCAAAAGACTGTTTGTTTTTAACCAAACAGTCTATCAGATAAGAACACGAGTCGATGTTTTCTATTTTCGTCTTGCTTGTTATGTAGTATAATGGGTTGGTGTTTGCTTTTCCTGAAGAGCTTGATTCTATCAGCGAGTTGATCAACAAAGCTATGAAATTCATCCTGAAATTCATATATGCCTTGTTGGTGGAAACAATCTTCATCTTTATATCTTAAAGTCGAATCATCTTCTTGTCATCAAACTGGTTTGTCCATTCTTCATAACATTTATCTTCTTTTTTTCTGAATTGAAGTTTTGAAAACTGTTTTCTTCCCAAAGGAAATCCAAGAATTTCTTTGACGAATTCTTTGGTGACATCAATAACTCCTTTTTGAAGAACTATCTTCTTTGTATCGGAGTTAAAATTATTAAGAACAAAGCAGCTTAAGGCCCCTGGGACCTCTGTCATCTTCATATTTAATATTCCCCCAAAACCCATCTGTCTGATACAATTTTTTTGTACTTCATTGAAGCCTTGTATAACAGACAACAAAGCTCCAGGTGTACATCTATCATCAAATATATCACATAATGAATTTAATTCATATGTTATGATAATAATTAATGAAGGTATTATACATGTTTTATAATTTTATCACATGTGTGTTAACTGAATAATCACACATGATTGATTTTTGAATCATATATGACTTAATAAATTTTTGTATAATCACATGTGATTGATATTTTCGTATATAAAAGATATTAATCACATGGTGATTCATCTTTGAATCATATATGATTAAATAAATTATCTTCTTTGTATATTGATTTTTTTTTTCATACATAAAAGATATTAATCATATGTGATTTACTAAAGTTATTAGTATATCACATATGATTTAATAAAATTATTTTTTTGTATAAAGTTGTTAATCATAAAGTTATACATGTTTCTGATTGTATCAAAATGCTTCTTTATTATCTTCTTCTTTCTTTTCTTTATATCTTTTGTTGCAGAATCGAAATCTTCTTCATTTTCATCAAGTAGTTGATCTTTACTTTTTGAAGATATAGCTTTTCTCTTTCTTGACTCAGTTTTCTTTTCAGCTGTTATGAAAATAATAATCATATACTAATTGAGAATCAAGTAATAATTAATAATTATGTGATTTTTAATACATATTAAAATCATATGTGATTGAATTATATCTTTGTCGTGTTTTAACTTGGACCTTCTTTCTGTTGTGTCTTCTTCATTTGATCTTTTTCCTTTTCCTTTAGAGAGACAAATTGTAAAAAAGGGAAAATCATATAATCATATGTTTATAACATGTCTTCATAAACCACATGTGATTTATATATACCTTTTTTTTCTATTGTTGTTTGCTTTTCTTCTGTGAATACTACAATAGTTGTAATCAAATTCATATTTGTATACAAATCAATAATAAATAAGTATAAATATAGATAAAAGTCAGAATCAATAAAAGAATGTTATTATAATAAAGCTTAAAGTGTTATTGATTGATGTTAATCACATGTGATTGATCATGTTTTTTGCATATAAAAGCAGGTAATCATATTTGATTAAAAACATATGGTGTTTTGTTTATGTGTATAATCATATGTGATTGAGCAATACCTTTCTTATTTTTTTGTTCTGTTGTTATCTCTGTTTCTTCTGTTACACTGTCCTTTTTTTTTTGCTTTTTGTGCTTTTGTTTTGGATTTTCTGATATATAAAAATACATATATAATCAGAAAATGAGAAAGTCTATTTCAATCAGATGTGATTGAACACAATCATATTATTTATCACCTTCGTTCGTGATTTTTCTATTTGTCCTCCTTCTGGAATATTTTTTTTCGAACGTTTTAGTATCATCTGCAATTCCAAACAGACTTTATTTACACAATACATGAATTACAGAACACTAAATCGAGAAATTAAACTTTAATATTCGTAAAATTGAGAGTTTAGTCGTAACTTTTGAATAGATGCATATTTCATGTATATTGAACAAAGCAATAGTAGAAAAACTCTATATACTCGCAACGAGGGTTTTAGTTTGAAATAACGTTTGAATAAATGCAGATTTCGTGTATATTTAACAAAACTGGAGTAGAAAAACTCAATATAAACAGAACACTTTCAGTAAATTGTTCGACATCGAAACTAGGGTTTGATTTCAAAATTTTTTTTGAGTAATGTCGATTTCCTGTATATTGATGAAACTAACAGTATTCGAGTGATATTCATCAAAAAAACCTCGATAATAATGAGAATCGAGTGATACTCAGCAAAAAAAACGTCAAATATGCGTTATGATACCTTTGGATGAAGGTTTTGATGGCGTTATCTCTTTTTTTCACGACATTTCTTCGTTTTCGTTGAAAATGTTTGAAAAAGGATGAAATGTTAGAGAGAGAAGAGGGTTTTCTGTTGAGAGAAATGATGTATTTTGATGGCGTAAATGGAAGATTCCGATTATGTATGCACAATTCAGTTTATATTCCTTTTTACGATTATACCCACTTATTTTCTAAATGTGATATGTTTGGAACCAATTGTTAAGTTATTTACAATTATGCCACCTTCTAAATTCTACATATAAATCCCGTGGGGGTTAGGTAACAGAAAACTATTTAGCTTGTATATTTTGTCACATTTTTTCAACTTTTATCCAGATTGAGCCAATACTTTTATTTTTACACATGATAATCTAACTATTATTTTTGTTTTTCTGATCATATATGATTGATGTATAAATCATACATTGTCCTTAATAAATGCAAATTAATCACATGTGATTTAAAAATTGTTTTTTGTATTTGTAATCATATATGATTGATGTATAAATGATACATTGTCCTTAATAAATGCAAACTAATCATATGTCATTTAAAATTGTTTATAATCACATATGATTACGTATATAACCACATGTGGTTTCAACCCATGCGGAACATGGGCTTCTCCTAGTTAGAGTGTAATTTATATGTATACGTATATTACACATGATAATCACATGTGATTATTTTCCTAAACACATGTGTTTATATTAATGTTTATATGTTTAATCACATATTATATACTATTGTACGTTTTGCTTTTATATTTATAGTCATATGTGATTGAGTATTCAAATTTTTTTTTTGTGTTTTTAATCATATATGATTGATGTATAAATGATACATTGTACATAATAAATGCAAACTAATCATATGTGATTTATAAATTGTTTATAATCACATATGATTACGTATATAACCACATGTGGTTTCAACCCATGCGGAACATGGGCTTCTCCTAGTTAAAGTGTAATTTATATGTATGCGTATATTACACATGATAATCACATGTGTTTATATTAATGTTTATATGTTTAATCACATATTATATACTATTGTACTTTTTGCTTTTATATTTATAGTCATATGTGATTGAGTATTCAAAAACAATTTGTGTTTGTAATCATATATGATTGATGTATAAATCATACATTGTCCTTACTAAATGCAAATTAATCATATGTGATTTAAAAATTGTTTATAATCACATGTGATTACGTATATAATCACATGTGATTGCAACCCATGTGGAACATGGGCTTCTCCTAGTTAAAGTGTAATTTGTATGTATGCGTATATTACACATGATAATCACATGTGATTATTTTCCTAATCACATGTGTTTATATTAATGTTTATATGTTTAATCACATAGTATATACTATTGTACTTTTTGCTTTTATATTTATAGTCATATGTGATTGAGTATTCAAAAAAAAATTGTGTTTGTAATCATATATGATTGATGTATAAATCATACATTGTCCTTACTAAATGCAAATTAATCATATGTGATTTAAAAATTGTTTATAATCACATGTGATTACGTATATAATCACATGTGATTGCAACCCATGCGGAACATGAGCTTCTCCTAGTTAAAGTGTAATTTGTATGTATGCGTATATTACACATGAAAATCACATGTGATTATTTTCCTAATCACATGTGTTTATGTTAATGTTTATATGTTTAATCACATAGTATATACTATTGTACTTTTTGCTTTTATATTTATAGTCATATGTGATTGAGTATTCAATTTTTTTTTGTGTTTGTAATCATGTATGATTGATGTATAAATCATACATTGTCCTTACTAAATGCAAATTAATCATATGTAATTTAAATATTGTTTATAATCACATGTGATTACGTATATAATCACATGTGATTGCAACCCATGCGGAACATGGGCTTCTCCTAGTTAAAGTGTAATTTTTATGTATACGTATATTACACATGATAATCACATGTGATTATTTTCCTAATCACATGTGTTTATATTAATGTTTATATGTTTAATCACATAGTATATACTATTGTACTTTTTGCTTTTATATTTATAGTCATATGTGATTGAGTATTCAAAATTTTTTTGTGTTTGTAATCATATATGATTGATGTATAAATCATACATTGTCCTTACTAAATGCAAGTTAATCATATGTGATTAATTTGTGATTACGTATATAATCACATATAATCACATGTGATTATTTAAAATAAAACATTGAGTAAACTTCAATTTTCAGTTAAACAAAAAAATAGAGATTGTTTTCTAAGGCAATAAACTACTTATCCATATTAAGCTTTACATATCCATGGTATTATATATATATGCTCAAACATTTATATAATTAAAACCTAATCATTGTCTTTAATAAATTAGCAAGCATTCATCTAATGAAAAAGTAAACATTGTCTAAGTAAACCATCAATCAAATTATGCATTCACAGATTTCACCATTTTCAATCTTAAACTTCACATGAAACCTCTTCCCACAATAACACTGTTCTCTCAATCTTTAACATTGTCATTATCTTAATTATCTTCATCATCATCATCATCTTCATCATCATCATCATCATCATCATCATCATCATTATTTCTGTTGTCTTCTTGAGCAATTTGATCTCCATCATTAAAAAATTCATCGATCATACTTTTCAAATGATTCAATCTTACACTTGTTGGGAAGTTATTGATTCCATTTTCAATCAACAAATTGATCTTCCTAATCTTCATCAAAATCATTTGTTCATAGTCCTAAATCAGAATTAATTTGAAGTTTATATTAGCAATATACATCATTAAACATTATAACTATTAAATACTGATAAGTTTTTTTTGTATAACTGCTATAAATACATTTACCTCCTGATTAATATCTTCTTCAACAAAATCTTCATTTAAATCTTCTGTACCAAATTGCTTGACGATTTCTTTTTCATAAATTTCTCTAAGCTTCATTTTTTCTGATGTCCAGTGACAGATAACTGGTCGTTTTCTTTCAGCAATAACTACACTGCAATGGACTCTATCTACATAAAGCAACTGAAAAAAAAGAAATATTTGTTATTATAATCACATGTGATTAAATTATTATGTCTTTATAATCATATGTGATTTAAAACATTTTACTGTTAAACCACATGTGATTATAAATGTTATTAAATAATAGATAAGTTATTAAGCATACCACTAAAAAAGCAGATGGTCCAACAAAATTGCTTGTTGGATTGGATGAATCAAAAGATCGTTTTGTTTTAACTAAACAATTAAGCAAGTAGGATCACCAGTCAATGTTGCTTATGTTTGTATTCTTCATGATGTAGTTTAAGGGATATGTGTTTGCTTTTCCGCATGAGCTTGATTCTATAAGAGAGTTGATCAACAAAGCAATGAAGTTCATCTGGAAGTTCATATCCGCATTGTCCGAGGCGAGAATATTCATTTTAATCTCATGCAATCTGATCATTTTTTTGTTTTCAAATTGTTCAGTCCATTCATCATAACATTTATCATTTTCTTTTCGAAATGGAAGTTTTGAAAACTGTTTTTTTCCCAAAGGAAATCCTAGCATTTGATTCACTGATTCTCTTGTCACATCGATCTCAACCCCCTCTCGGAGAACAATTTTCATTTTTGTCGGATCAAATTTATCTATAACATAACGGCTTAATGCCCCTGGCACTTCAGTCATTTTCATTTTCAATAGATCACTAAATCCCATTTGTTTCACACAATCTTTTTGGATTGTATTGAAACCTTAGATGATTGATAACAACGCTCCAGGTGAGCACCTATATTATCAAAAATAACAATTAATGAATTTAATTATATTTGATTTAAAACAAATTAATCAAAGAGTTTTCAAATCATATATGATTTTAGGGATATATACAGTAAAGTCCCAATATTTTCATCGATTTGACAAGAAAGTCCTAAACTTTATTTTTTTGACAGTAAAGTCCAAATTACCGGCAGTTTTTGACACTTTTACCATTTTTTCCCGGTTAGCCGGTAATTAGGACTTTTTTGTCAAAAAAAAAAGTTTAGGACTTTGTTGTCAAATCATCAATTAGGACTTTACTGTCAAAAAAATAAAATTTAGGACTTCTTTGTCAAATCGTTAAAAATATTTGGACTTTAGTGTATATATTATTATTTTTTTTTTTGTTAGAAATTTAATGGTATGATACTCTTTAAGCATAAGAGTTATTGAAACCTTCTCTAATAAGCTAGATCCTATTAAAATCCTTAACGTTTGCTTCTTGTTAAATCGTTTTTTTAATCTCAACAAACCGACATTGAAAAAAATGGAGATAATCAAGAAAGAAAGAAAGAATCAGGGCTGTGTTGGCTTTTTGCAGTCCCAAAAATGGAGAAATAAGAAACCGAAAAAAACGAAATTGCCCTGGCTTTATACAAACACAAACAACACATGCCTAGTCAAAAGGGTGTGAATGTGGAGAAGGGAAAGAAGGGCAATTTCGTTTTTTTCCATTTCTTATTTCTCCATTTTTGGGACTGCAAAAAGCCAACACAACCCTGGTTCTTTATTTCTTTCTTTCTTGATTATCTCAATTTTTTTCAATGTCGGTTTTTGTTGAGATTAAAAAAACGATTTAACAAGAAGCAAACGTTAAGGATTTTAATAGGATCTAGCTTATTAGAGAAGGTTTCAATAACTCTTATGCTTAAAGAGTATCATACCATTAAATTTCTAACAAAAAAAATGAGATATACACTAAAGTCCTAATATTTTCAACGATTTGACAAGAAAGTCTTAAACTTTATTTTTTTGACAATAAAGTCCTAATTGACGATTTGACAAGAAAGTCCTAAACTTTATTTTTTTGACAAAAAAGTCCTAATTACCGGCTAACCGGGAAAAAAGGGTAAATGTGTCAAAGACTGCCGGTAATTTGGACTTTACTGTCAAAAAAATAAAGTTTATGACTTTCTTGTCAAATCGATGAAAATATTGGGACTTTAGTGTATATATCCCTATGATTTTATTCATATATAATAAAATCATATGTGATTGATTAATCCGATATGTGATTATTCCTCTTTGTTATGTTTATCTGTATAATCATATGTGATTCATTTCAAATAGTTGTTCTTTAAATAATCATACTGTTATTAACAAAGCTATACCTGTTTCTAAGTGTATCAAAATGCTTATTTACATTCTTCTTCTTTCTTTTTTCAGTCTCTTTTGTTTCAGAAACTGAATCTTCAACTTTTCTTTTCTTTTTTTGATTCGTTTTTCTTCTCTGGTCCTATAAAAGATGTTAATGAAGTCATAATAAGTAAATAAAAAATCATTATACAAATAGTTAATAAATAAGCATATAATTTTCAATATCTATTTTAATCACATGTCATTGAAGGAATATTGTTTTTAAATAATGTGTATAACTTTAGATATAAATCACATATGATTGAAACATCCATGTCACCTGAAAAAGGTATATTTCAATCACAAATGATTATATATAATAATATATATCAGTATTCCAAAACAATTCATAAAAGACATATGATACTCACTTGTGATTGGATTTGTATGTGTTGTATTAGAGATGCTAATCACATGTGATTAAACAATATTTTAGGATTGTTAATAACATGTGATTAACGTATGATTATATACATAAACATCCTAAAATCTGATTAATTGACATGTGATTAGAATCTCTAATACAAACATACAAATCCAATCACAAGTGAGTATCACATGTATTTTTTGAATCGTTTTTGATTACTGATATATATTATTATATATAATCATTTGTGATTGAAATATACATTTTTCAGAAATCTTTCTTGGTGATTTTCTTGGTTGTTTCTCTTTAGGCACTTCTATGTTTTGTTCTGAAATTATATAAATTCAAATATAATTTAGATAACCATATATGATTAAAACAAAAGCATAAGGTGTTCATAACAGATTTTAATCCCATGTGATTGAATCTGTTTTGTGTATCTAATAAAAATCACATATGATTGATATATATATATATATATATATATATATATATATATATATATATATATATAATCATTTGTGATTGAAATATACCTTTTTCAGAATTCTTTCTTGGTGATTTTGTTGGTTGTTTCTCTTTAGGCACTTCTATGTTTTGTTCTGAAATTATATAAATTCAAATATAATTAGAAAACCATATATGATTAAATCAAAAGCATAACGTGTTCATAACAGATTTTAATCCCATGTGATTGAATCTGTTTTCTCTATTTAATAAAAATCACATATGATTGATATATATTAATATATATATATATATATATATATATATATATATATATTATATAATCATTTGTGATTGAAATATACCTTTTTCAGAAATCTTTCTTGGTGATTTTGTTGGTTGTTTTCTCTTTAGGCACTTCTATGTTTTGTTCTGAAATTACATAAATTCAAATATAATTAGAAAACCATATATGATTAAATCGAAAGCATAATGTGTTCATAACAGATTTTAATCCCATGTGATTGAATCTGTTTTCTCTATTTAATAAAAATCACATATGATTAAAACAAGTCATGATAAAAAAAGCATACAATATTTATAATAAAAGATATTCTTTTATGATTGGATTTGCTTGTGTGTATTAGAGATGATAATCACATGTTATAATAAAAAATACATTGTTATTTCATAGATGTTAAGCACAAGTGATTGTATATATTTTTTTATGTATAAAAGATTGTAATCACATTTGATTGAAAAATACATATATAATGAGGAAATCACAAAGTCAATTTTAATCACATGTGATTAAATATCTTTTGTGTACATATGATGTTCATAACAGATAATAATCACATGTGATTGAACCTGTTTTGGTACATAAAAAACATCAATCATATGTGATTAGTGATTGAGTGTACCTTTTTCAACTATAATTCTTGGTGATTTTCTTCTTGTTTTGCTTTTGGTAGTTTTTTTTGTGTAGATTTGTCTTTGTTTTTTTCTGAAAAAAAAATACAGATATAATTATAAAATCATATTTGATTATAAACATAAAATATATGAATCAGAAGTGATTATTGAATGATTTAACTGTTACCATTTTGAGTTGGTCTTCTTGTTGTTGCTTTTGTAAATTTTTGAGTAGTTTGTTTAGTTTTTGGCTGCTCTTTATTGGTTTATGAGATGTACAAGTAGATGTATTATAAGAAAATCATATATGATTATTTCAAGTCATCACAAATAAATAATATACTGTTTATATAGATTGTGATCACATGTGATTCAGTCTTTGTTCTATACATAAATACAATCACATGTGATTCAATCATTTCGAGATTATAAGATCAACAAATCATATATGATTGCAAACACTCATTATAAGTAAGATTTCATCAGGAAATCATATATGATTGAACATATCATATGATTTATCACCTTCATTCATGTTTTTTTGGATCTATCATCTTTCTGGAATGTTTTTCCTCAAACGTTTAAACAAACCGACTTTATTTACACAATAAATGAATAACAGAACACTAAATCGATAAATTAACCGTTAATATTGGTAAAACTGAGTGTTATTTAACAGAAAACTACAGTAATTTTTTCGGCATTGAAACTAGGGTTTGATTTTAATGTTTTTTTGAATAATTTCGATTTCCTATATATTGATGAAACTAACAGTAGGAAAAATCGAAAATCGAATGATATTCATAAAAAAAAAGTTGATAATCATGAAATCGAGTGATATTCAGCAAAAAAAAAAAGTCAAATGTGCGTTGTGATACCTTTCGATGAAGCTTTTGATTGCGTTTTCCATGTTTTTTACGACATTTTGTTCGTTTTCGTTGAAAATACTTGAAAATGGAAGAATTGTTGGAGAAAAGCGAGGGTTTTCTGTTGAGAGAAAATGAGGGTTTTTGTTTTCGTAAATCGAGGATTCAGACAATGTATGTATGGAAACAGTTTATATTCATTTTAACGATTATACCCCCTTATTTTTAAAACGTGATATGTTGGAACCAATTGTTAAGTTATTTACAGTTATGCCACCTTGGAAAATTAAAATGTAACTTTTGTTCTCAAATGTTCTCGCGGGAAAAATGTTCTCGATTGAAGGCTCCTATATATATATATATATATATATATATATATATATATATATATATATATATATATATATTATATATATATATATATTAACTTGTTTCACATATCAAAATTATGTAATTTTAATATTGTAAAATGTTGGAACTAATGAATTGGGTATTCATTGATTCCGGTCATACAAGTATTGATTTCATTTTAAAACCTAAGAGTTTTTGGAGCACAATGAATCATGTTTTCAAATTTGTTAAAAGGTGGAAGCACAACTAGAATCTTGATAACAAAAACATTACACGACTATTATTTTTGAGATTTTTATTTTGGGTAACCTATTTAATCTATTTCGTCTTTAGCTAAATTATTTGTTCCAACTCTTTGACACATTAAACATCAAATGCTACGAAAATTAGTTCATTTATAAATAAAGTGGACAAAATAATACTTCTAAAACTAAATAAAAGTATATGTATTAATTTTATAGATTTAAATATTTAAATTAGCACATGCAACTAAAGAAACCAGTTGGCAAACTTGCACCCTTTTACAGAGACAGAGATAGGATACTGCCATAGATGGCTAGACCTGTATTTAAGCACCGTGCCCTATTTCTATCTTCTAG